ATTTCTCACCCTGTTGTCTTTTTTTGCTTTGATGCTTTTTGGTATCAATATGCTTTGGCTTCTTTATTGTTTATTTTTATGTAATTAGTACAGGTTTTTCCCTTGCGGTTACCATGGGCTTACATGAAATAAAATTATAACACTATTTTAAACTGATAACTTCCATAGCATTCCTAAACTTTACATTTTTACTTCTCTCATCCCCCTCACATTTAAAGTTATTGATGTTACAGTTTGCATATTTTTATATTGTGTATCCAGTGACAGATTATTGTAATATGATTATTTTTTGTAATTTGTTTTCTTTTCACTTAGAACTATTTCTTTTTGAAGTCTTGACATTCAGCATCTAAATAGTAATTCCAATCAGTACCTTTTAAAATCATAGAACACTTGTGCATAAAATAAGAAAAATGTATAACTTAACCATGTTTTTACATTCATAATTTCATTTAGTTACTGTAATAAATGACTTTCTGATTCTTAGTCATTGGCATCACTATTCTTTGTGTAATCAAGACTACATTTGTTTAACTTTGTGTCATCAAGACTACATTTGTTAAACTAGTTGTAAGTGATTATGTACCACTGTTACCCTATTATAGAATCTAACTTTGACTGTTTATCGTAACCAGTGAATTGCATATTAGCTACTTAGGTTTCTATGATGTTAATAAGCATCCTTTTACTTCCACTAAAGAACTAACTCCCTTTAGCATTTCTTATAAGGCAGGTCTAGTGGCGATGAATATTCTGAGCTCTTTTTCGTTCAGAAAAGTGTTCATCTCTACTTAATTTCTGAAGGACAGCTTTTTTGGGTATAGAATTTTGGTTTGACAGGGTTTTTTTTCTTCCTTACAGTAATTTGAACATATCATCTTATTCTGGTTTAGGACATTTCTGTTGAGAAATCTGCCAGTAATCTTATGGGAGTTCCCTTGTATGTAACTTCTCTTTTCTCTTGTTACTTTCAAAACTGTCTTTGACTTTTAACCATTTAAATATAATGTGTCTTAGTGTAGCTCTATTCAGGTTCAACCTATCTGAAGTCCTTTGGGCCTAATGAATCTAGATATCCATTCCCCTTCCCAGGTTTTGGAAGTTCACAGTCATTATTGCTTTAAATATACTTTCTACCCCTTTCTCTTTTTCTTCTCCTTCTCAAATCCCCATAATGTAGATAGTTTCTTTTTATTGTGTCTCATAAGCCCCATAGGCTTTTTTATTGATTTTATTTTGAAATTGATTACTGGTTTTGTTGTTGTTGTTCTTCTTCTTCTTCTCACTGGATAATTTCAAATGTCCTGTCTTCTAGGTCACCGATTCTTTCTTCTGCATAGTCAAGTCTGATTTTGAATTCTTCAGTTTCAGTTCATTTCTCTATTGAATTCTTCAGTTTGGTCATTGCATTTTTTAGCTCTAGGATTTGTTTGGTGCTTTTTTGGGTGGTTTCTATTTGTTGAACTTCTCATTTTGTTTGTGCATTGTTTTCCTAATTTCATTTGTCTGTTTGTATTTTTGTAGTTCACTGTAACTTCTTTAAGAGCATTATTTTGAATTGTCAGTTCATAGATCTCTATTTCTTTAAGGTCAGTTATCAGAGCTTTTTTAGTTTCTTTTGGTGGTGTCATGATTTTTTGTGATCTTTGATTCCTTAAGTTGGTGTCTGTCCATTTGAGTATGCAGTCTCCTTTTACAGAATTGCTTTTGCAGAGACAGTTCTTCACCAGTCAGTTCAGTTTGAGTTTCTGGACATGTCTGCTGATAATGTTCTTGGGCAGGTAAGGCTTGCTAGCCACCCACTGCCCAAGCTCTGAGGCCGAGTATAGGTGGAGGGGTGTGGAACAGTGTCACTGGCTCAGAACAGCTGGATAGGTATTGCTGGCTTCTCTGCCCAAGCAAGGCTGTAGGATGGGCTCTGAGGTTGCCCAGGTTCTCTGATCAGATATATAGACAGTTTGAACTGGGTACTAAGCAGTAGACAGGGCTGTAATTATCTTACCTGCCCTGGTATAACAGCAAGTTGGGCCCCATGGCCTGCACAGCTTGACATTTGGGCACTTGAATCAGGGAAGACAGTGTACTCCATTCCCTGGCTAGATACAGCTACCAGTTTTGGTCTGCAGATGAGGAAAGCCAAGGGCTATGCTCTGTTCAGGTACCACCGTAAGAAGGGCTGTTGGATGAGCTATGCAGCTTCTTGTGTGCTCTGGTTAGGTTCCCTGGTAGGACAGGCTGAAGGCTGTATTTCAGCAATAGCCAGGGCTATGAATTCCTTTCCCTGCCCAGGCAGAGTGGGAAAACCAATCTCCAAAGGCAGCAAGGTTCTTTGTTATCTTGATTCAAGCAGTCCTGCTCTCCAAGTTCCCTGGCCAAGTGGTGCTACTGCTTTACTCTGCAAATGATCAGCTCTGACTGCCATACTGTCTGCTTGAGTGTCATTAAGCTACGCAGCTTCCAGGTGGTCTGGCCAGGCTCTCTGATTAGGTGGGGGCCAGGAGCTGTACTCAGGAGTGAGTCAAGCTATAACAGCTCCCCTGCCTGGGCAAGGTCACACTGGGCTTCAGCGCCAACAAGGCTATTTAAGAACCTGGATCAGGCAGACCTGCATGCTGCTGAGTTCCCTGGTCAGACTGTCACTGTCTTGGCTCTGAAGATGAGCAAAGGCACTGATTGGAATTACTACTTGGATGCTGAAGGTAGGAACTCAGACTGCAAAAGTCCACATGCAGGTTGTTGCAAGTCCCTTCCCTCTTTTGTGTCATAGTCAGATTCTCAGTGGTTAAGCCGCACAGATTCTCCCACGATCTCCAGGGAGTGAGACTGGAGTGTGGGCTCCCAAGAAGCAACCCCAGTGCTAAGGGAGCTGGATGTCCTCTCTGAATTCTTTCTCCCATGGAGGAACTGTGGACCTCTCAGTGTGGTGCTGTGCGGGCCCAGGGGAGGGGCAGTGCTGTCATCAGGTAGCTGGTCTTCTTACCACTTCACATGTGGTCTGACTTGGTCTGTCGTACAGTGGGGGTGCTTCAGCCTCATCCTCATGTTCTAGGATTTTCTCAATGGTGTCTTATCCATGAACAGTTGTTCTTGTGAGGGAGAATAAAGCCAGGAATGATCTATGTCACTATCTTGGTGACATCACCTCTACTCAGCCTTTATCAGATTTATAGTCTGCCTCACAGATTTATTTTCAGGCTTAATCATCAGTGCCTGGTATACAACAGACTCTGAACAAATATCGGCTTCTTCCACGGTGTAGCCCAGCCTTCTATCCACCTTCCTGCACCAAATACACAGTGCTTCATACACACCTCATTACTGACTTTCCTGCACAAATGCCCACACCTCTGCTCATGCCAGTTCTGCCTACAATGCTCTTCTGACTGGTAAGCTCCTTCTCATCCTTTAAAACTCTGCACAAATGTCAGCCTTATAAAGCCTTACCAAAACCACAAAGTTATCAGTCCATCTGTCTCATGCCATCTAGCTTCTTGCTCTCATATAGTATTTATAATATTGCATTTATTGTTTACACATTGGTCTGTCCCATCTTCAGGGCAAGGACTCATCTGATTGATTCCTAGTTCAAGAAGTACTTGATGGAAAAGGACAGAATTCAGCATTCAACTTATTGCCACTGAAATTAGGAATGGGAACACATATGAATCTCCCAAGAGAGTTCAGCAAATACTATTCCTATAGCGTCTAGGAACCTTAAGCAAATTTGGTTTTCTCAATACTGTGCTCTGAAAGCCTCTCCCTTCCTCTAACCCCGCCAGCTACCAGCTCAGGAAGCACCTGTCCCATCTTCTGCATATGAAGCAGCGTGGAGCCAGAGATAAAGACAGATGGAACCGAGAGTGTATAACATTGCTCCTCCAGGTTTGGAGGAAGGAACTGGAACTGAAATCCCCAAAGACCACCACAGTAAGCAGGATCACCAAGAATCCATCCAAGAGCAGCTCAGGCACAAAGTCCAACAGGCACTCAGTGCTCAAGCAAATCTACGGTAACTGTCTTTCTGGGTACCTTGTAGTTTATGACAAGCACCTCCAGTGTCACATCAGAATCTGAGATGGGGTTTAATTGCATGGGGCAGACCTCCAATTTATGTAGGAACTTTATTATACTTCCAAGCACCAAGAGAATTCTCAGCACCACATTTAATGCCTCCCTTCCAGCAACTGTGAGTCAGGATTGGTTTGATGAGGCATTCTGGCATCTCAACCCAGAGATCCTTCTGGCCAAAAGATTCTCTGCTGGGCTTCATAAATGAAAGCCTCCCCATTGTAACCTCTTCAGGCCGCTACTTGGGTCCTCCCCCTACATGAACAATTTGGAGGACTCCAGGCACAGGCAGACCCTGTCTCACTTTGACCCTTATTTATATGCTAAGATAGTATATTTTCAGCTCTAGAAAGAGCCCATCCAAATAATAAACTCATCCCAGAACAAGCCTGGCTAGTTCTTCAACAGAAAAAAGTTGAGCCAAGGCACCTTTAGAAACAGATCTGTGGCCCAGGCAGCAAAATCTCAGGACCAGACCCTGGAACTACATGTTCTTTCTACACCACACCTAATTTATCTTGGCCAACACTTGCAAGCTCAAGCCTTCACCTCAAGGAATTCAGAACTTGGTCAGGTTGCGGCTGTCATTGGTCAGTGATAGATGATCATTGTTGGTTGATTTCAGGTTGTTCTCAAGAAGGGAAAGTACATCATCCCACAAGATCTTCGAAAGCCCATTCTGTGCTGCGTCTCAACTCAGGTAAGGCAGCCATTGCACTGGCAACAGATTCGGGAGACAATGTGGGTAGGTATTTTCCCTTGTTTCATCCCCAAAGATAGAAGACATTAGAACAGGGGTTTCCACTGGTCATTTGATTTCAAGTATGCATGTGTTTTTCATCTCCCTTCCGTGGAATTACTGCATTCAACATCTATTTCCATCAGAGGCAAGTTATTTTTATAACTTAAAGCTATTAACATTACATCCAGTAGAAACACTAAGTGGTAGCTTCTGTTGATCCTTTACTTGTTCACATAAAAGGGGGAAATGAAAATACTGTTATTCTTCAAAGTAATCCTTGAGAATTCTTGTTCCATTTTGGTTTCATATTAAGATCCTCAACTTAAAGATGGGAGGAAGGTCCTTAACCACAAATTCCGGCTCTTGTTTTTTAGGGCCCCATAAGGAAGACAATTAATATTTAACAGTACATCCAGCTCAGGCTCAACTGTGCACACTTTCACTCATACAGAAGCAGCTTAGGGAACTTTTCAGCTGTAAAACAAGAGTGTTTTACTCAGGGCCCCTTCATCCACACCAGCATTAAATTTGGGTGATAAGTTCAGTGCTGTCAGCAGTTAATGCCAGGTCCAGTGTTTCTTGTGGGTGGCTATGGCAACACGCTCCCCCCACCCTCCCTAATCTACAGTCATGCTGCAAGAACAGAGTGCAGCTGGGAAGGTGAACAATGACTGTCAGCATGAACTTTAACATTCATTTAGTTTCTGATGGGGGGGAAACCTGGAGGTAGGGGGAAAGTAATTACTGCAAAATCTTTAAAAGAGTTGGGCTACACATGTAATATAGGCAGGATGATCAGGGAATGCTGGGTGGGGTAGTTGGAAATTTTCAAAGTAATCAAAGCCCATAGTTCTATGTTGAAGAAAAAACATACTTGAGTGAACTGAATAGTTTCAAAAAAGAACTGTCAGATACAACTACTAAAATGTAGCAGTTAGATAATCAAATATTATAAATTAGATAATCAGAGTATTTTTTACTGTCTCAGGAGAAAAAAATCCAGTACCATCAGAAGTCTTTAAAAATGGGTTAGCAGCATAAAAGGTTTTTAAAGGACTCACAAAGGTCAGAATAAACAAATTCAAAGAAATGCATAATGGTTTCTTAGGACTTCATAGGAACAGCCTGTTAGTTCTACACATGCAATTCTGGCTGGCTTAAAAATGGATGAATATTGAAAAGAATCTTCTTCTAAGGCTAAACTTGGGATAACACACAGTTATATTAAGCCCACCCACCCCAATAACCCATTAATCAGTGAATAAGGCTATCGTCAGAGCCGCTAGCTACAGTTTAACTGAAGGCTGTAAGTTTTATACAGAAAACATGTCTAAATCATTTCCATGAAATGGGCATGACTTTAACATACACAAAAGTTTCTGCAATGTGAAATCAGAGGCCAAAGTGAACTTCAAAGAAGAACTCATTCATTTTGGCCTTCAAACCTTGACTAGAAATGTTAGCTCGTTTTTTGCTTTGAGCACTTCATGGGTTTAAGGATCTTCTGATTTTGTTCACTATTCTGTTTAGCTTTAGGAAACTGTTTGGCATATTATAGGTACTCAAATATATAAGTGGAGATTGTTGCTCTCAACCTCCAACTTAAGGAGAGGCTTTACCTCTTAAAAAGGAAGAGCAGAAAGTGAGCTGGACGTAGCAGAGTGAAAGCCTCCTTTGACTGTTTCTCTCGATGTATTCAGGAGACAGGACAGTTTAACAACCTCTGCTCTCTCTCTCGTCTTCCACACCCACCCCTAGCAACCAACCACAAAGAATAGCAGCATAGTAATAGAGTGTATATATCTATGTGTGTGTATACACACACACCCCTAAATTTTGGGGCCTAGCTCTTAAAAAACTCCCTTAAAAACCATTCCAATGAATGGAATAACTATGGCTTAAGTGATTACTAGTAATGGTACCTCTTGTGTGAATGCAGAATATTCTTGCCCACCTATCGAGGGGTATGCAAATGACAACTCAAGACCTGATGCAGCCAAAACCACACCAGAGTTCCAAAACAGTAGTTCACTTTAAAATATTTTATTGAAGTAAATAAAACCAAAAAGAAAAAGACATATGTTTCTAACTTTTTAAAACTACTCACCTTTCATGTTTGCTTCTTTGCTCCATAGAAAGGAGAATATGGCCTCAGCAATGCTTCTTAACCATTTGGGGCGTCAGCATCCTCACTTGTTAAACGTGAGGGTTGAGTATACCACTATTGTTTTCCAACTGTGGTATCCTATAATTTTGTAATTTCAGAGTCATAAAAAGGCCTAAAAAGTCCATTTCAAGTTTAATATGCCTATCAGTCTATTACCTGAATAATTTTCAAATGAACCTGTTTTCTAGAATGGACTATAGCCAAGTGTGTGGCACATGGGGTTAAAAGATACATGTATATGTCTATTATATTAAGAGATGCACAGAGAAAGATATACCAGTTATTCCAGGCAAACTGAAGACCAAGGTTCTAGTCTTAGCTCCTCAAGCACCTGCCCCTCCCAAAGTTCTTCCTTGTGAGGTGTCACATTATCTTTGAGATGGTAGAAAATGCAAGGCCAATAAATCATCCAGTCTCTACAGTAAACTGGCCATCACCTTATGGATCGTCTAAAATTAAACCCTTTTTTCTTTATCACCAATGAACTCTTCCCTTCACATTAAAATTAATAACCTGAATATTTATCTGGTATTTGTTTTTAACAGTGAGCAATTTGCAGTGTATACACCTCCTTGAGAACAGTGGACGATCAAAGAATTTTTCTTATAACCTGCAATCAGCTACTCAATCGAAAAGAAAAACAAAGCTTCGACCACCAACAGAGGAAGACTGTCAGGGGGAACTGCAATAGCTAGTGCAGAGTTCCTATTCCCTGCCGATTATCTTTTACATCTTGGGAACACTAATATCCATGCCTGATGCCTTATTAAGCCTGAAAATGTAACAAGTGAAAAAAATGTCAGAATGTTTTCTTTCTGATCCTACATAGCACTGTTTGGTAAATTATCATAACCTGCCTTCACCTCGGTCAGTATGGCTGGAAAGGAGAATTTATAATTAACAGTAAAGTCGAAGTAAAACTAAGAATACGAGTGCTAAAAGAGCTGCTGGGTTGAGATTTCTGCCAGCCAGATGGTGTAGGCCTGGTCTTTCGGCTCCCATGAAGAAGCTAAATGAGATGGGGAGGAACCTGTCCTACAGCAGCCACCTTCATTTCACTACTTTTCTGGAATCTAATGCAACAAAATTCATTATAGACACCACATCCTATTACTTCAACATTAGCAGTTTTAAGTTGTAGACCAGAATCAGGACCCAGAATTTGCTTTTAGTAATTATCTGTTAAAACCATAAGAGGTGCTCTGTTTATCTGTTGACTCCTTACATTTTACAGTTCGTGTTGGCCTCAAAGCCACAGGTTGCTGCCACGTACTCTCTGAACAGCATTACTGGTATCACGGCACCAAGCAAGCAGCCAGGCAGGTGTACAAACCAGACCATCTATGTACAAGGTAGCAGTTCAGCCCTTAACATTCCACTTGTATTTTCCACCTGACTGCAGGGGTGAGCAATCTTATCAAAATGCCATTCCTACTGACAGGAAATGGCTAACTACACACATTCTAGCTCTGTAAGAACACCTGTTTTAAATGAAATGTAGTAACTGGGGCCTATTCACATTTTTAAGGCAAAGCTAATGCAGGAATGTAGGCAGGAAGCATAAACAAACAGTAACACAGGCTCAAGGATATTTCTAAGACCGCTTCCATTTTAAGATTACTGCCATTACTTGTCCTGACAGGAAGGAATAGGGTTAATTACCATGATTTTTAGTTTGTTAATTAAATTTCATAATTATGAAAATATAGAAATAAATATAATATTTAAGAACTATAATGGATTATTAGTAGAAAAATCACTCTGAAAGTAGTTATTTCAATCAGACCAACCACCATTTAAATATAGGAAAATCTGAAACTGTAGTATTGCCTTGAAATCTTGCCCCTGCACGGTGGGCTACAAAACTTCTGTAAAAAACAATGGATAAGGGCAACCACTCCCAAACAAAACAAAATACTAGTTTCTGTTGCTGTCTGAACTGGAACTGAGGAAACAAAGAATGAGGTTTGCCTACATGGGATCACAAAGACTTTTAGCTAATTTCTTGTCAAATAATAGAAGGTACCACATTATCACTCTTTTGTAAATATTTAGTTTCTATGAAATGTAAAATATTACTACCACATATCACATGCTAGTTCAGGAAGCCAGCTTGCTTTATTTTCCTACCTTAGTGCAAAGGAAAGTTCATAAACAACTTCTTTAAAAGTTCAGTTTTAATGACAAACATTTATTACCTCGGTCTGTTCAAAATTAGATGTGAATAACAATTTCAAACAGGGAGCCTCTTTAATACACTGTATTCAACGTGCTGGGCCCCTGTGGATGTCCAGTGACATACACGTTGAAGCAGTAATGTAAGTCTGTGAGCCACTGTTCCTGAACACCTCCACTCTTCAATGTCTGCAGAGAAAAACAAGTAATTTGAGAATTCTACCAAAATTGCTATACTACCTGAACTGTTTTCACATCTAAACAAGATCTCAGAGCCACTGCAACAGTATCTCATCTATTAATCACCACAGAAAATCTTACTGGAAAAGAATTTAATTGGGCATTGCCACAGGTAGATCCTCAAGTAGGAGTGCTACAAGTTTCTTTGGTTTGTTCCCTCCTGCTAGGGACTAACAAAATTTTACTATCCACAATCCCTACACTCGACTTCCTCCCCTCAGCATTCTAGAGTCTCTAGATCTTTGTACTAACATCAACCAAGAATGTTACAGGGCTGAATGACAACTTTTGTCACTCCTTATGGAGGTGGGTTGATTCTCCAACCTCAGAATAATCCAAATTCTTGGCTTTCATCCCTTTTATTTCTGAATTACTATTACATATACCAATTAATAACCACCATCCCCCAGCAAATACCTATATGAAAAAACCTCCCTAACTCTCCCATACTAAAAACACCAAAGCAATCCTAGAGAACAAAACTGCCCCCCAAAACAGACAGCTAAACACACAGAGCCAACCATTAGACAAAGCTGAAGACTGCAACTTCCTTCTTTTAACTACTTCTCTAGTAAATGAACTAGAAATTGGCCTGAACTTTATTCCTGCTAAATAATTTCCTAATGACAGCTAACATTTGTTGAGCACTTAACATAGCTACACTAAAAACTTTACTTGGCTAATCTCATTTAATGGTCATCAAAACCCAACGAAATTACTATTAGTCACATTTCTACAGGTAGTAAAACGAATCTGGTTAACTCTGACAGTTTGGCAAGTTTTTTTTTAAACCTATCCAATAAAGTCTATTAGAATCCCAGTAGCTGTGGCTCTCATGCCTGCACCTTTTTCAACTAAGCTGCTTGCTACATTAATCAATTTGAGTATTTTAAGGCCTTTACAGTTGATTCTGGGATCAAAGGCATCCTCCCTGGTTAAGTGAGAGTCAGGCGCTAGAGTGCAGAAGCCTGGGTAATCTCCACACTGGGCTTAATTCCAGGAGTCAGTCAATGCACAGGAACTCTGGCCTCCCAAGAGCACTCCTCATGCCTTGCCCATGAACCCTTCGTAGAACTAATAGGCCAAAGCCCATGTTTCTGTGCTTCTTACCGTGATATTCTTGATGATCTGCTGCACCAAGATGGCATTGGTCAACATGTGAGTCCTCAAGGGTGCATGCTGAAGCAGCAGGCGAAGCAGCTGGCCCACAACAGGCAGCTCCTCAGGCCCAGCTCTGTTCACCCGTAGGCTCTGCAGCATCAATCTGAGGACTCGAGGCAGGAGAGCCAGGGTTGAGACACAGACCCCCCACAGCTTGTCCCTGCAGTAATGGAGACAGAAATGAGTCCGTGAGCCAACATATACAGGAAAAACTCTCTTCCTATATTTCCCCAATGTCCCAAAGGACATTCTGAAAATGTCCTTTTAAGAAATGTGTTTTCTTGGAAGCTAAGCAGGGTTGGGCCTGGTTAGTACTTAGATGGGAGACCACCTAGGAAGACCGGTGCTGTAGGCGTTAAAAAATAAAAATAAGGGATTGTAAACAAGGTCCTTGAAACCTATGAGGTCAACCAAGGGCTGCCTCTCCTAAAAAATAAATAAAATTTTTAAAAAATTCTGTTTTCTGATAAAACCCCACAAACCAAAACCAGTAAGAACTGAATTTCCTCAACTAAATAAGCAAATCCAATGAAGAATTCGCTGTTCTCCCCCAATTTAATGGATTCCAGGAAGCCTAGTAACCAACCAGCATTTTCCTGGGCTTAACAAGACATTCTTGAAGCCCTAGTGATATTATATAACACAGAATTAGCCAGAGAGCAGAATGATCTATAAATACATACCATTCTCTACCACTGGACATTATTCAACTATTATACAACACCAAATATCGAAAGAGTAAAAATATACCACTGATAAAAAGAGAACTTCACAAAACTTTAAGCCTATGACCTGGATTATGAGCCTTTTCGATGTTTCTGTACAGGTCATGTTTGCAAAGAAAGATGGGCTCGCAAAGAACCAAAATGAATTTCAGAAAGTAGCCAGTAAGGGGGCTATTATGCACTATAAGGTCATGGAAGGCCGGAGATGGTAAATCCAAATTTCAGTAAGAACCATTCTCTTATCTTTATAGAACAGAAACAAAAATGTTTTACAAAAGAAGTAGGCTTGTAGCTAACTAACCTAACCACATTCTAGAAGAATGTCAATTAAATGAAACGATATCCTTTTGGAGGAAGAATCTACTGGCTGCTAAAGACTCTGACCTCAGTCTGTTACAATTTCTATACCAGGAATGCATAATCCTCCCAGTACCCAAGTCTTTCTAATTGAACCTGACTACCTCCAGATGTAGGACCAACCTCCCCAACTTCACATATGGCAAATACATCAAAGATGGATATTGAATCCATTCTAACTCTTATTTCAGGAGACTTTATTCAGCTTGTTGATTCATGTGCACAACCAGGCTAGGATAGCCATGTGCAAGAAGAAAAGAGAAAACCAGCCTATAGACATAGATAATAATGAAGCAAAGGCACAGAGAGACTGTGCAACCTAAAAGAAAAAGGAGAGAGAAAACTACTTTGGTTCCTGCTGGGTTTCAAATTCCTACTTTCACAATTCCTAGCTCTTGGGTTTTAAAAGTTACTCCTGAACTGTTCCAATATATTCATTTTCTTCAATGACCAAAACTGTGCTGAAAGGTCTTATGGATGCTAAATACCAAATTTAAGTATATTAATAGATGAGTAAAGTTTAGAATTCCACCTTCACACACAACTACAGAAAACTGTCAAGCCAAAGAGAAATACAAGAGACCTGGGTACTACAAGTGATAGAAGAAATACCACATGAACAGATATATTTTGGGTTTTCTACAAGTTGTCATGTACAAGAATAATTTTACTGATTCTATAAACTGATTAAAGTACAGAACTGGGACCAATGAAGTTGAGGTTTCAGCTTAACATAAAGCAGTGGTTCTAAACCACTCTAAGAAACTGATGAAATTTCAGTATTTTGCATAAACTTGTGAGTTCACCTAACTCCACAAACTTCTGATATATTCTGGTCAGATGATACCAACTTCCCCTTCTACTAAATACAGAGAAATACAGATAAAATACACACACACCCCTCACACATGCAGCCAAGCTTAAGACAGAACAGTTGAACTCTCTCTCTCTTAAGTGCCAGAAACTATGACAGAACACACATAAAGATACCTAGCAGATGAAGAGAACTGGATGTGGGATTTTACGGCGGGTTTTCAACTGCTAACAGTGTTGGAAGCTGAGACTTTGGGTACTAGGTGTGGAAGGCAAGGAACTAGAACTGGGCTCCCTTTATATGACTGGAAGTGAGGAAAATGAAGATATGAAACTGTCTCATAGGGAGATCTCTCCAGCCTCCTTAGAACTCTCATAAAAAGATGCACTCAGAGAAAAGGTGACATCCCAAAATATGAGTTTGTTCAAGCCCATGAAAGACAATCTCCAGGCCTCACCTGCTCCTCAAAATAAGAGAATTCTCACACCAAAGAAAAAAACAACAAACAGAACAAACTGACAGGAACTTTAATAATAAATCAAGAACAAGCAAGAATGACAGAGCCAAGCAAAAAACCCAAATTAGATCAAAGAAAACAATATGATGAAATAAAAAATAAGAGGGTTAAATAAAAGAATTAGCAAAGCAGAAGATGTTAAAAGATGGAGGACAGAATGGGATGCTCCCCATGTTTAAAAGGAATTTTCAGAAGAGGAGAATAGAAACAATAGGGGAGATAATAGAAATAACAGTATTTCCCAGAGCTGAAGGAAAAAAATGTGAGTCTTCCAATTAAAGGAGCACACTAAGGGTTTACTAGGACACATCCTGATTTGCAACACAACAAAGATAAAGAGAAAACAGTAAAACCATAGAAAAGAATAGATTACTACAAGCCAAGAGAGCTCAGTTGAACAGCAGATTTTTCATTACAAGTCAGGAAAACAACAGAACAGTTTCTTTAGAGTATAGTAGCCACAATTTTGAACAACTCACATTGGTAAAGCCTGAATTTTTTGGCCAGCACTTAAGAAAACAAAGGGTCCCAGTAATTTGGCACTTGTTATTTTTAATCTCACAGTCACCTTCTGTGAAAGGGTAAGAGTAGCCTGAAAAGGATATTTAAGTACGAATATACCCCACTTTTCAAAAGTTCACATTACACCACTTCACTGTTATGACTTACCACTGTTATCTGTTTTCACTAAATGAAAGCTATCGAGAGGATTTTTGCTTTTATGAAAAAGTAGAAAAAGCAAAATAGC